CATTGATATCTAAAGATAGATATCATCTTCACTGTACCTAAACTGGTACATTGATATCTAGAGATAGATATCATCTTTACTGTACCTAAACTGGTACATTAATATCTAAAGATAGATATCATCTTCACTGTACCTAAACTGGTACATTGATATCTAGAGATAGATATCATCTTTACTGTACTTAAACTGGTACATTAATATCTAGAGATAGATATAATCTTTACTGTACTTAAACTGGTACATTAATATCTAAAGATAGATATCATCTTTACTGTACCTAAACTGGTACATTAATATCTAGAGATAGATATCATCTTTACTGTACTTAAACTGGTACATTAATATCTAGAGATAGATATCATCTTCACTGTACTTAAACTGGTACATTAATATCTAGAGATAGATATCATCTTTACTGTACCTAAACTGGTACATTGATATCTAGAGATAGATATCATCTTTACTGTACCTATATCAATGTACCAGTTTAAAGATGATATCTATCTCTAGACCAGTTTAGGTACAGTACATTAATATCTAGAGATAGATATCATCTTTACTGTACCTAAACTGGTACATTAATATCTAAAGATAGATATCATCTTCACTGTACCTAAACTGGTACATTAATATCTAAAGATAGATATCATCTTCACTGTACCTAAACTGGTACCTTAATATCTAAAGATAGATATCATCTTTACTGTACCTAAACTGGTACATTAATATCTAGAGATAGATATCATCTTTACTGTACCTAAACTGGTACATTAATATCTAGAGATAGATATCTTCTTCACTGTACCTAAACTGGTACATTAATATCTAGAAATAGATATCATCCTCACTGTACCTAAACTGGTACATTAATATCTAGAGATAGATATCATCTTCACTGTACCTAAACTGGTACATTCCCATTTAAGAAACAAAATATTTTTATTAGAACGAAACTCATGTGATAACATTTAAATCAAAGTTCTGTATTAATTATACCCTTAGCTAAAATAGTAAGGTGCACCCAGAGTAACTTTAAAATCAAGTTTGTAAAAGTAAGTATCGTAATAATATGAACACCTAACACATTTTCACATGAGTTTAAGTGTGTTAAATCGTGAACTATGGCGTATAGAGAGCTAAGGATCTTATATTTCGTACACAAATTGACTTACAACAATGGATTTTATTTTCAAATATATAATTTAGAAATAGAAAAATACCCCATTGTCTTCTAAATGTGCGAAGTTTAGATCCGAAAATATAATATACTTGATAAGAGTCTATAATAACTTCGTTGTCTGATTCTTTAGAATTAATTCACTTATTTAGAAAAATGAAATTAATAATAAAAAGTTAAATCTATTATGCCTTAAATGCTTCGTAACAATGAGTTTTAAGAATATCTAAACCACTATTTGACAAAAGTCTGTGTTCGTTTAGAACTGCTGGACCAATTGTCACCAAACCTGGCATGAACCATAAGAACCACTCTCCAAATCTTCTTTGTTTTTCTTGTTCGTGTGTGATAACAACCCAATTAGTTTTGGTTAGGTTCTGGTGATCACACGTCACTTGTTTGTTATGGTCAGTAGTCTAGACCCCACGTTAGAGTATACCACACCAGATTCTCTATCAAAAAGGCCCAGTATCGAATCCCGGCTTTTACTGTCATAGAAATTGTCCTTCTCGGAACTTTCCTGGAGTTAGTGTTATATCAGCAGTAGAAACGTCGTATAAGAACTGATCAGTATCAAGTAATCACAATTATTAATAACTAATTAATAATAAGACTTAGATGATCGTATATATATATATCAGTTATTCCCAGAGAACCTTTAAATAACATTAAAAAGAAAATAATCTCCCCAAGGGGTGTCTTGATGAGTTACATAAGCCAGCACTCAAAATTGAAGGGGGGTCTTGGTGAGTTACATAAGCCAGCACTCATAATTGAAGGGGGGTCTTGGTGAGTTACATAAGCCAGCACTGATAATTGAAGGGGGGTCTTGGTGAGTTACATAAGCCAGCACTCATAATTGAAGGGGGGTCTTGGTGAGTTACATAAGCCAGCATTCAAAATTGAAGGGGGGTCTTGGTGAGTTACATAAGCTAACACTCATAATTGAGGGAGGGGTCTTGGTGAGTTACATAAGTCAACACTCAAAATTGAAGGGGGGTCTTGGTGAGTTACATAAGCCAGCACTCAAAATTGAAGGGGGTCGTTGGTGAGTTACATAAGCCAGCACTCATAATTGAAGGGGGGGGGTCTTGGTGAGTTACATAAGCCAGCACTCATTTTGCCCTTGAATTATTTCTTTTGATTTACTTTTCGATTAGAAAAACACACACACACACACTAAGTTTTTTAAACAAATTATATGAATCGGAGGTCAAAGGTCTGACCTATGTGTACGCGGCATATTGGGCACCATTGGTATATGGTACTAACCATAACACCGATCACTACCTATTCTTTGTTTTTATTGGTTTCTGGTATTATTTCTAGAAGCTTCCAAATGATTAGAAGTTTAAAAGAATGATATATATAATTTGGTTGAAAGATTACATAGAACGATAATGAGGCAATTTGTTGTCAACCAAACATTGGATGAATCAGTGAGTTTTAAAATTACGCCTTAACAAGATTATTTATCAAAAATGATACAAAAATCAGCTCATAAAACATAGTTTAGTAAAATGTCAAACACTGATAGATAATAAACAAACTAAAGTACTAAAATATCCAAGTACGGATGTTTCACCCCTTGAATCAAAGAATCAACTTACGAATACTTTTAAAGATTACGTATAAATTATCGCAAGGCCCATTTTACCAAGTGCATGCTGTGCTTGATATTACTTCTATCATTTCCTTGTAAATATATACCTAATACTCGAAATAAATCTAATTCCATGTTTATTTTAAATCCAATTTACAGAACAGAATCTCGCCCGTGTTCAACATGGCCGAATATCGTTTCGCTGACACCGTGATGTTGTAAAAGAAACCAGCACCAGCTGGTGGCAGTATACGGTGAGAATATACTTGTTTACAAATTACTTAATGTTTGCATTGAGACAAAAATATATATTACAGTTTATGACTACGTGGTTCTTATAGGACCAAAAGCTTCTAAAAAAATGTAATTATGAGGCAGACGGTAGCACTGACTATGTAGCGATGGCTCAGATTGTTCACAGAAATGGTATTTGAAATATTCGTCAATAGGTTATCAGAACTTTACAATACTATATAGTGTTTCCTTTTATACAATATACATGTAATAACTGAGTCAAATGTTCTGGGAATGTCTGGAAATATCACAGCGAAAAGTTTGAATTCCTTTTTCTTTTGCTTCATTTTTATTACTTGATAACTCAAAAATCAAAACAAAAGTGTTGACCAATTTCACTGAGGTGACGTATTTCAAACGGAGTATCAGCTTTTATAAGTATTATTGATAACTAGTAGTAATTTTAAAAAAAATCATAATTCTAGTTTAAACAATGTTATCATTACCCCTTGAAGTTAGCTTTCTACCAGATATTTGATGTTCCTTTAAATAGCTTAAGTACAGGGTGAAACAGGAATTACCAGCCACTAATAGATAAACAATAAATATTACAGTTAGAACCTCGTTGTATTTAGAACTTGGTTATAAATACGACCTTCCTACATAATAACACAGGCAAGAATTAATATATAGCAACATATATAATTATTCAATCAAACCTGAGTTTAATTTATCCTATTTTTGTCTGTTAACATTCTACTACACTTTGTAGGGATGTACTACACTGTGTACTACATTATGTCAGGATGATACAAATGTCATCCCTACTATCTTGTTAACATTATTTTTGAAGGATTGACATTAGCCATCCCATATTTACTTCCTCTTTTGAAAAGTTTTTCTGGATTTTAAAAGGGGGAAGTTAAGCATTAAAAAAAATACCACTTTCTATGGGATCAGTATATTTAAGGTATCTCTATACTCAGATTCTATACTGTTCAAATTTCACTGCAATAAACTTGTAAAATTATTAATAGGCCTAAAATTTATCATAAAAAATCATGTAAATTGAAAATAGCTTTTTCCACATTCCTCTTAATTTGAACATTTCGGATCCATCTTTTGTTTGCCACAAGTCACTGTAGATGTGTAGCATTTCGGATCTATCTTTTGTTTGCCACAAGTCACTGTAGATGTGTAGCATTTCGGATCCATCTTTTGTTTGCCACAAGTCACTGTAGATGTGTAGCATTTCGGATCCATCTTTTGTTTGCCACAAGTCACTGTAGATGTGTAGCATTTCGGATCCATCTTTTGTTTGCCACAAGTCACTGTAGATGTGTAGCATTTCGGATCCATCTTTTGTTTGCCATAAGTCACTGTCCAAGCGGCATTTCGTTTAATGTAGAACTCGTCAGTTTATGTGATTTTTTATGAACGAATTTTAGGTCTATTTATTTCTAAAGCTTTCGTAGTTTAAACCGTAACTTTCAAAGATGTTATTGTTTTAATGACATACTTCTGGGTTGTAATAACAATATCAGATACAGAAACTATAGAGGAATCATATTTGAGGATAGTAGCTCCAAAATAGAATTTGGGAAGTTCCTTCTCTCCAGTTATTCATACATTCGTGGCCGAAAACGGCAAACCAATTAATAAATCAATTACTGGGCGGGACCCACGACTCCACTTTGATGAGTTATTAGGACAGACATTGTCAGGATCCTTAAGTTTGGTTCTCGGCCTTTGAAACTTAGAATCCAGGTGAGGTATGCCGAAAGGATAACACAAGTAATAAATATCTGTAGTTGTCAATATAAAGTTTCAGAAATATATACCAATATTTTCATTGTTAACCTCATTGTAAAAAAAAAGAAAGAAAAAAGTGTCAGTATCTTGTTGTAAAAGCGTCAGAAGCGTATCCTGCAATTATCAAGTACGTTCAAAGTAGTGTTAGAAGTTAACATTTTAATAACTATTCATGTTTTAGAGGTCACGTTATCTGGTCACGCAAAGATGAACCCGGTAATTTTAAGAGGTCTAACAGTAATATTTCCGACCTACAAAACCTTTATTTTTATATGCCTGGTTGCATTACAAGCTCATAAAACTATCATCGTAAGCAAGAAACTTGAAGAAAGAAAAGCATCAGTCTTCCACCACAAGATTCTGTATAGAGATTGTATAATTTGACTAAACCATTAAATAAAACTAAAAACAAGTCATAATTTTTACTTTGTTCAAAATGTGCACAATTCCTTGTTCAAACATAATTAAACAAACTTCCTTTCTTTCCCCCTGTAAATATCACATCATCACGAGTTAATTGACAACAAAATTTGACTTAATTATATCTGCTAGTCGTCACACAGTTTCAACAAAACTACCAATTACCGAAATGTACGATTCCCAGTCATAGTTTAAGCCTAAACTACTAAATCAAGTCATACATTGTACATAAGCTGATAAATCGCGAGGTGTGTTTCCCAGTTACAGTCTGAATCTAAACCAATAAGTTAAGAAACACATTTCCCAATCACACCTATCAGCCAAAAACTAATAAATCAACAGACTCTTGTTTTAGTCACGCTTTATATTTTTCTACAACTAACAATATTAGTTAACTTTCGTTTTACGTGTTTTCTTGTATTTTTTGGTATGTTTTATATATGTCATTTGAAACAACAACTGTTATGGTGAATAGATGACAAATCAGAGAAGAAACATTAGAATTATATTCGCTGTGAGACATTATAATTAACTTAGTACATTTTCAAACGATACATTATTAACCTTGTGTTTTACACATTTCAAGAATTAAAAGAGATTATATTAAGCCTTAAACTGATAAATCAACAGACACGTTTCGCTTTCATACTTTCAGATTTCACTGCTTGTCCATTAAATGTGTTTTTCTTGGTTCTAATAACAACAAGAGTAATCAGAGTGATTCCATGCCCTCGTCCCGCCGCTCCTTTTCGAGATTGCATGCGTTTGTATTGGACAACGTAAAATTTCACCTTCGAAAACTCAGAAAATCCTTCTCAGATCCAGAATGATCAAGGATCAGGATCATTTGTGTAGTGTAATAAGGAGTCTCAACCTTAATGCGCCCATGAAACTCAGTAAAAATCCGATCACACTTTACAGAGTTATTAACGGAAAACCGTCAAAATGCCTTATCTCCCATTATATATAAAGCTTCTAAGTGATCCAGGATCCGGATGTAGATCCGGACCAAATTTGCAGAGAACTGGCCCATACTGACTTCCCATCATGTGTAAAAGTTTCGCGTATATTAGTCTATTAGTGCGCGGAAACACAGACAGACACATATCCACACGAACCGGATTGCAATATCCTCGCACGGCGAGGGTAATTAGGTCTAATAATATATTTTAAGTAAAGCAACACAACACGATTCAACAGAGATTCTGCTTGTTGCGTCAAAATGGTTGAATGCAGCGATGTGCCTGTTTGCTTTAGAGCATAGCCACAGTGGACTATCTGCTGTGTCCCCCGTATGGAATCGAACCCCGGATTTTAACGTTGTATGTTCGTAAAAAGGTCGTCAAAAACATAAAATATCATATTAAGTCAGAGCTTCAATAAATCAAAAGACACGTCTTACTTTTACACTTCGATACCTGATTGATTGTTTAGTCAGGTCATCTATTATTTTTGAACATAATGTAACTTTGTGACGAAACTGTTTTAATGTTAAAATTAACAACGAAGCACGAAGTACTTCCTAAACTGTAGTTGTAACTTACGTCACATGGTTTAATTCTCTTAACATGACGTAATACGTCTGGGGGAAGTACTTACCAGATTTAACTTGACCAATAGTATGAAATAAATGACACTTCAGGTATAAAAAACAACTAAAGAGAAAAGATACCATTAAGTAGTTATTTCGTAAATTTCTTTCAAAGTGTCGTTACAGGTTTTAATTTTGATTTTATTTTTAACTTCCTCAGACAAGCTTATACGATACTGTCTGAACCAAACTATCAAAGGCAATTATGTGAAAGCATTGTTCCCACGTCTAATCTCTGGCACAAAAGATATCTCCTTGACATATCTACTGCCCGCACAACAGATGGTAAGCGGAGTCTGTAAACGTATGCTACTATACATCACAGTTTCTTTTATACCTAGAAGCCCAAAATGAAAACTTCCACACACGTTCGTTACTGAACTGCCTTTTATGTTGTTCGTCCAAGAATTCGTGAACGGAAGTATAGGCGCCTAACGGGGGGGATAAGGTGGGGGAGACATGTATCACCCCACTCACTTTGGATATTTTTTTACCAAAACATTTCTCGCATTGTTTCACTCATCACTTCTTCCTCACCTTTGACCCTCTCCCCCAATTCCCTACTTTTAAACAAAAGTAGGCGCCTAACGGGGGGATGACGTGGGGGAGACATGTATCATCCCACTCAGTTTGAATATTTTTTTACCAAAACATTTCTCGCATTGTTTCACTCATCATTTCTTCCTCACCTTTGACCCCCCCCCCCAATCCCCTACTTTTAAACAAAAGTAGGCGCTCATTCACGCTAGGTAACTTAACAACAACAACAAAAAAAATGTATATGAAGATATAACATAAAAAAGGCTGTCCGACACCGGAACGTTGGCTAATTAGAGTGTTGTTAGATCTAAGATATGTTCTAAATATTCCAGGAAATATCGCCGTAAACGTTCTTCCCCGAAATACATTTGATATTTCTTTATAAAAAAAAATCAACCATGATAAATAACGTCCTGCAATTTGTCAATTGATTTTTGAATTCAATCACTTGAAACAGTGTTTTATAAAAAAAAAAAATGCCAAATCGAATATATTTATTGACAGTATTGACACAAAGTTTTTAAGAGCTTCAACAGAAAAAAGTCAGTAAACGCTCGATCGAAAAAAAAAAGTGGTATCTGTGTTTGTTTTTGAGATTTCACCTATGATTTTGATTTATCAGAGCTGGCTGAATACAGATCGACACCCAACATTTTCTGACGTATTAATAACTTATATTTCTGTGCATATTAAAATGTTTTTGCAGAGTTTTTAGTTATTCTTATCTCTTCTTTTTTTTTCTTTTCAGAATACCGATATATCTCTCCAAAAATATCATGGACACATTCGTGTAATGTTTGTCTGCTCCACAACCACCACCAACACAAAGAATCGAGACGTAACCCTGTAATGTTTGCCTGTTCCACAACTACCACCAACACAAAGAATCGAGATGTAACCCTGTACTGCCTGTATGCTCCACAACTACCACCAACACAAAGAATCGAGATGTAACCCTGTACTGCCTGTATGCTCCACAACTACACCAACACAAAGAATCGAGATGTAACCCTGTACTGCCTGTATGCTCCACAACTACCACCAACACAAAGAATCGAGATGTAACCCTATAATGTTTGCCTGTTCCACAACTACCACCAACACAAAGAATCGAGACGTAACCCTGTAATGGTTGCCTGCTCCACAACGGTCACCAACACAGAGTCGAGACGTTACCTTTAGTGGCTGCCTACTCCACAACTGTCACCTATGTAAAGAATTGGAAATACTTATGGCACAGAAACCAGCAATAGTCTGGAACTGTGCAAATACCAAATCTACCTTAGAAGTGCGATCTTGGTCATAATTACAACTAAAGCGTTCTTAAGTCACGAACAATAACTGTTTTATCTACCAATCAAGAAGTTCCTAGCTCGAACAACTTCATATAGTTAGGTTGTGCATACGATCTTATGGAAAAAGACTTCTTCTACTACGTGAGGGATAAAGCAATGCCTCCGAAATATCCTACTATCCAGCTAAGCGTCTTATCAATTCAGACAGCCAGCTTATCAGGACGTCATTAAAACTGGTTTTGAGATCAAGGATTTGTCAGATTGTTTACCATATATTTTGAACGTGATTCATCCAGTTAAACTGTTGTATATACGTGTACAGTGTAATCTGTCTAAATAGCCTTGTTTAAATGATTATTGAACAAGAGTACAATTTCGTGTTAAATTTTTCTTCTTCTTTCTGGTGCATGTTTACATTGCGTGTTGAGAACTCCATGATGTACATCAAAGAACTTGCTAGCGTGCCCTAAGAGAAAGGAAATCCGTTAAAGAAGAAACTTAACAATTGTGTCATGTGACCGAATGGCGATCTTTTCTTGGTAGATAGAGTGAAACACAATATGCATGGTATGTTTGTCCAGACAAGATAAGTTCTCTGAAGAACGTTTTAAAGAATAGAAGCGTGGATAACACTGTCTGGTTAAGCTTAATTTCAGACGGAACCTGTTTTGAATGTTGCTGTTGTTTTTTTAAATCTAAAAACAGAAACTCTATAATTGATTGTAATACTGTCTAGGCAGTATTGTGAATTGATATTTGATTAACGTAATCAATGACATTGCTTCCCTAAGGACCCCTCCCAAATAGTCGCCTCGACAACGTTACTGTAATTTTCCAAAACTCCAAATTTCTCCACCCCACCCATCAGAAAAGATAGTCCCCTTTCTTTCACCTAGAAATTAAGCACTGAGGCTATTAATAGTTTTACTTCTTGAGATAATTACTTAATTATCATTAACTAATGTTTCGACATTTTTCTTTTGTACCACATGTGAAATCTGAGTTTCAGTTGAAAAACTGCTCAATAAAAAATGTGTATAGATGAAAGTCTATAAACATATTGTTTGTTATTTCTATAATAATTACTATTATAATCTTAAGAGCATCCTTATTTTAAAATTACACTGACATATGATTAACGGGGACTAGTTATAAACTCACACTAACATGTCATCAAGAGGGACTAGCTATAAACTCACACTGATATGTCATTAAGGGGGACTAGCTATAAACTCACACTGATATGTCATTAAGTAGGGACTAATTATAAACTCACACTGACATATCATTAAGGGGGACTAGTTATAAACTCACACTGACACGTCATTAAGGGGGGACTAGTTATAAACACACTAACATATCATTAAGGGGACTAGTTATAAACTCACACTAACATGTCCTTAAGGGGGACTAGCTATAAACTCACACTGACATATGATTAAGGGGGACTAGTTATAAACTCATACTAACATGTCATTAAGAGGACTAGTTGTAAACTCACACTAACAAGTCATTAAGGGGGACTAGTTATAAACTCACACTGACATGTAATTAAGGGGGACTAGTTATAAACTCACAC